AAAGGTTCTTCCTTTTTTACTGAGGAAAAAAACAGTGGAAGCTTCATTGGAAATTCAGAATTTCCAGGGAGAAGACAAACCAACTATCTTTGAAAAGCTATCTGCCGGTGTTTAGTTCAATTCATTAATTATTAAATCCTAAACATTTTCAGGCATAAAATTGGAAGGGGTAGGGGGGAATCTACCAACTTCTCTGATGTGTTTAAGTCATCAATTTCCAAAACAGCCCCTGGCAGTCTAAGCACAAAATGTCTAAATGTGCTGGCCTATTATTGTCAGTGTGGTTGCCAAACAAAGCAACATTTCACCATGGATTATTATACCCAAGGCGTGAAACAAGCAATTCCAACATGCAAAGTTCCCCAAGTTCCTGACATTTAGCTAATAAAAAAATTTAATGCAATTTGACAAAATTCTAGGTAGTCAAGAACCAAGCTCAGCTGGATCACTTTATACAGAACCATCATTCTAGGTAGATAAAAATGCTATTTCTTCCAATTAGAGGTCTTTTAAAGTTCCTAAAGTCTGTTAAATCAGCTATAACTACGATTAGGTGATCTAAACAATAATGCCTAAAGATAAGCTATTTCCCATTTTCCCTACTCAGTTCACCAAATAACAGGTATCATAATCCTGAATATTAACCCTTCACTGTTCACATTTCCATACCAGTAATGCAGCTATTATAAGTAATCAAAACCACAGCAAGCTCTATTCAGAGCAATTCTCATTACCTGATATGAATCCATTATCTAAATAGGTTTAAAAAATCCATAATCAGAATTCTCATAAACGTTATCACCAGGTATCTTGTCTTGAATGCACAAGGCTTAGAATAAACATACAATGCACCGGGAACTGCTCCTCTCCCCCAAATGGGCAGCAAAAGGGACAAAGGTTACTGATTTAAAGCACTAAGTACCTGCATAATACCTCAAACTAACAATTTGGTAAATTATTTTCTAGCTTGTATAGGCCATTTCTCACCTTTTCTTTCCTTCCGTTTAGAAGTGAACAACTGACTCCCAGTTATTCAGTACAGAAGTCATCAATGGCACAAAATCTAAACTCTGCCCAAATGAATATCCTAATAAAGTAATCCTCAGAAGTCATTCATTCTTGTCCTAGCTCAATCTATGAAGTTAACAGACATTTCTTACCCATTCAGAATTCTCATCTCATGGAAAAATTAATCACAATAGAAAGATTTCAGTACTGAGTGACAAGAAGTGTCACTAAACATGAATCATGAAACTATAACCATGGCATTAAGCTTACTTTTATAGCAAATTTATACTTTCCTTAACAGCTTTTAGGATAACATTTAAGTTATAAACTACATAATCTTTTCTTAAAGTAAGATCATCTTTACTAAGTGGCTACCAGATATATTGGCCCTTATCCTGAGTATAAAAGAGGCAAAAAAAATTGCTTTAAAATACTTCTGATTTCACAACTTCCCACAGGGTAGGATGATTTAATTTGTGGCTAAAAATGACACTTTTATTTAAAAGAACTCTTATATGTGCTGACCTAGAAGTGATAGCTTAGATCAGGATTCAGCAAACGTTTTCTGTTAAGGGCCAGATAATGTTTTAAGCTATGTGGGCTTCATACATCTTTGTAGAATAGTTTTGTTTCTAACCCTTTCAAAACAAGCCACAGGCTGAAAATTTGCAGACTCCAGGCTTAGATATAGCACTTTATTTAAATGACACTTCCATACTATTACTTTTTTCTGTAGCCAAAATCTTGATGGCCTTATTCATCTTTATACCCTAATTACTTTCTGAAATTAAACTTCTAATTCTTTAGGACACAACCTTTCACTATATTCTTCTCAGACTGAAACACTTATTCCAAACATTTCTCATATAAACTTCCTATTTGCATGACTTCAAAATCAAGTAAGAGTCTCAAATGGAGAGAACATATCCAAGGTAAACCCAGGCCGAGCAAAAAGTAATTGAACCCAAATTTCTGAAAGCTGACACTTAATCTATACCTCAACTATAAAACCTGACAATTTTGCAAATGTTAAATTTGGTCTGAAGCTTGATTAGAGATCATTTTACTGCAATGTCACTAGATATACTCTGCAAAGTATAACAGTAATTAACTTCTAGGCTTTTCCCACTTAACTTGGAGATCTGGCTTTTATAAGGTTCAGACTCAATAAACACTTATTTACATGTTAACCTCAGCATAATTACAGATGTTTGGGTTAGAATCTATTTTCTCAGCCTCTATTTCAGTGGTTCTCAACCTTGGCTGCACATTAGAATCACGTGGGAATCTTTTTAAAATCCTGATTTCTGGGCCTCATCCTCCGGAAATTCTGTTTCTTTGTTATGGGGTGGGGCCACATTAGTAACAAAGAAACAGAATTTCCGGAGGATGAGGCCCGAAAATCTGGGATTTTAAAAGAAATCCCAGGTGATTCTAATGTGGCGCCAGGTTGAAGACCCCTGCGCTCTATTTACTTTAAAAAATAGAATTACATGCACCTGAGAGCCAAGGATTTGTTATGCCAGTTACTTAAATGTTGGGATAGATGTCCATAATATCAGGTTCCAGCAGTTTCACATTTCTCCTTAATTTTTTTTAACCTTTAATACTCGTTGGTTCCTTCAACACAAAGCTAGTGCTCTTAAAGATTATTTTTGAAGTCCAATATATAATATTTAGACTTCATATGCAACTCCCTAAGAATGTAAGATTTTTTCTATTTCAGTGCAATCATCACTAGCGACTAGAAAAATAACACATTCAGAATGATTACTTAATATACTCCCTCCAAACCCATACCAAAAAATAAGCCCCAAATATATTTAAACCCTGGAGATGATATGTATGTCCTACTTCCACTTTTAAAAGTGAGTAAAGTAACTATGTATAATACCTAGTGACACATTTAAAAATCTTTCATAACTCCACACAGGTCTCAAAACAGTATTTAAACTAAAGAAGAAATCATATTCCAATCATTTCAATGCAAACTGAAATTATCTTAAGAAATAAATTCTGGCATTACTTCCAATTAAAAGCATCCATAAAAGTTCACTAAAACATTCAAACAGCTACAATTATTACTTATGGATCTGTATCAAGGGATTTCTTTAGAGTATTATATCTGGTTTAATACTCCCTTCAAAAAACAGTGGTGCTCAGTATAACTAATCTCTGCATTCAAAATGTGATATTGCTAAGAGAAATGCCAATGTAAGGTCAGTCCTTGAAATTCATTTTGTAAGAGTTCAACTTTCTAATTATAATACTCATTAAAATAGGCATCCCTCCCAGATAAACAAAATCTAAGCAAAAGGTAAAAAATGAAACATGAGCATTATTTTTGGGGTGCACACACAGGCCAGAAAACACATGACGATAAGTGGGTTCCTATTTGATTGTTTTTATGACTTTTAAGAAGTGAGCATGAAAATAAAATCTTTATTTTCAGTCATTACCCACCAATAAAAGAAAGTTAGGTTCACAGTTTTAGCTTGACACAAAGTGAACTAGGAGGCAAATTTACATCCATCAGATACAACTAATGGACCAACTTTTTAAAGTTCAGGCTATTGTGAAAGCTTGCAACATATCAGATATTGCTGTGTATTCTCTACTGACAAAATGCCAGCAATGGCTGACAGAGTGGAACTTGTGAAGTGTTAATAGCAGGTGTTTTCTATATGTTGCTAGAAATCAAGAGGTTTATAAGCAGGTTGCAAGTCCAGAAATGAGTTAAGATGAAAAGTCCAAACACACTAACTTAGGAGGGATCAAGAGTCCATATGGACTAATTTAACACTTGCCTCTGGGTAGCAGTTATGTTGGTAAATATAAAATTATATTAGACATTAGCACCAGTACAGAACACACTCTGCATAAGATTCAAATCATCAGCACAAGTTATTCATCATTAAAAACCAATTACCTCCTTCCTAATAAGATGTCAAACTAGTAGGTAACTAGGTTAATAAGTCTAATTCAAATGAATAACTTTTATACTGTACATCTCTTTTGGAAGTATATGGGAGAGCTAATCAGCAAACAGCAGACATTTTATGATTTTAAGATTTTCAATATTTTAAAAACTGGACATTACTACACATAGGTAGAAAATTACTGAAAATGAGTGACAAAAATTTTTTAAAGCTAAATAAAATTCATTTTCTGCTTAAAAATAAATATGGCAGAAGATTTAAAAAAATCCTAGAAAACCAGTTTATTGATCATTCTCTACATGTTTACTAAGTGCGTTGACACTCCCATTCAGGAATCCATTATTAACCTACTTTTCTAATATAGGAAGAGGTAAAAGATACTTATTATTTTCTGTGGAACAGTCATTTATCAACTTAAGACCAAAACTAACAGCAATGTAGGAAATTAGGCATCAATAAGATTTTTGGCTTATATTTCATGGGTGGTGCTGCTGTTCCAACCTTAGAAAGTAAAGCTGTCTGCTTTCCAAATTCCGAAAAGTAACACACTCCCACATCTTACCATACTAACCAGGCCCTTTGGTTTCTTTAGAACAGGAAGGGATAAAGGATCATTGATTATGGGTATATAATTTTGATTTGGAACCTTTCACAAACAAATCATATCGAGTGGCCAGAAGCAGTTTATGAATTAACCAAATCAACTTTGTTATACCCACCCTGTTGGAGGGTGAAAAGCCCAACACCCATAAAACTATTTCACCTGACAGGATGTGTTTTTCAACAATAAGTAGTTTAAACAACTTTCTATTAGACCGTAAGGTGTCTAGTTTGGTTTTTGAAATGGGAAAGTCACACACTTTTAAATATAGTTGAAATTGTCAATCAATTATAAATTGAACTTAATGAACTATGCAGGAGCAAGGATTAATAAACCAATGTGCTTTGAATTTGTTCAAGTCTGATATTTCTGTATATAAAGATTTAGCATATAACAGCTATCATGAGAAGTGAAAAAGGATTTTCCCCAGAAATAAAAATATTAAAACTAAGTTAAAATACGTAAAGTCATTAGTATTCCACATAGCATAAATTTTGACAATCAGAGTTTACATGTCCCAGTTGACCATATGTGTAAATGCAAAGCAGGTACTAAAACGGATATTATGTCCAATATTTAAAACCGGTCTGTAACTGGGGGAACATCTAAATCCTTAATTAAAAAACACAAATGAAGTGAAAGCTTTAAACTGGTACACATGTTCACACCTATATTTCAAGTTTGGAAATGCATATTTGCAAGCAGCAATACAAAATATCCATGAAGTAATGCATAATCTCTGAAAATTATGAAAACATCCCTGCTACCAATACATTTCTAAATACAAAACTGACTACCATATTTGTTACTTCTGTGTAGCGAGAGAAGTTCATTTTCAAAACAGATAAAATTCAGTCTGTAGGTGTGAATGGTATGAATGACAGTCTTTTTTTTTTTTTTTTTTTTAATTTCTTAGACGGTTGGGATCCTTAAGCATGCAAAACCTCAGAGAAGTAGGGTCCACAAAGGAACCAGGGTTATCTTATGGCATCCAGTTAAGCCAGAGCTGGGAATGCCTCTGGGTCATCTACATCAGGAGCAGAAGCACTTGACTGAAAAAGAAACAAACCAAAATTAATAATGCTCAAACCTTGAAAATAAATTGCCAGTGTCTACATGTAGACAAGAACTCTAAAATACCTTGAAGTTAAAATACTAATTAAATACTCAAATGTGTCAAACCTTTTAAAGGCAAAATTATGGATCAGACTAGGGCCACAAATATTTGCAATGAGTCTTGCCCTAAATTTCTATCAAGATCTAGGAAAATTCCCTAATAACAGCCTGGGTTATTTTATTTTTCTAATACTCATACAAGTGGATTCACATGGGATATGTGTGGAAATTCTTACTTTGTTAAGCATTTCTGTATTTTCTCCACTTGCTAAATAATAATGGCAATAATTTGAAAGCAAACCGATTACAATTATTTAAGCAGCACATTCATCAATGTTAGAATGGGACCCAACTGCCAAATGCTATTTATAACGTACAAATAACAAAACAAAAGAGTATTGAAAAGGTCCACATACATAACATTGGCTTTAAAAACACCTGATATGAAGGGAAGAAACAGAAACAAAATATCACTACACTGGTACTGGTGACCATAAAATCTGTAATATTTAAATTGCCACTATAATCAAACACTGGCAGACCCAATGAAGCAAATGGGTCCCCCAATTTGTGTACCAGTTGTTCAGAATTCAGGAGGACATCATGATTGTATCCTAGATAGACAATAAGAGACAATGAACTAACTAAAAGGTTTTCTCAAATAATTTAGTTTAATAATACCTAGACATTAAAAGCTTGAACTATGACATCAGACAGATCAGAGCTCAAATATATCAATTACTAGGGCTTATATCAAAATATTTCTTAAGAACTTGTTTTGTGTAGTACACTATATGCAAGGCATTGAACATGACAAAAATTAGGACAAAAATGAATCCCACCTCTTACGTAAGTCTAGTTAAAAAAAAATAATCAAGAACTAAAAAGGTGTTCACTAGACCATCATCTAGTGAGTTTCACACAATAAACAAGACACAAAGGTTATGTTAAACTGAGACCTAAAAAAACAGTGAAGGCAAAGGACATAGGTTAGCATTTCAGGTAGACCCTGTCAAAGGCCAAGAGTTAACTTGGTTCCCTGTACTGAATTCCTCTTCTGTAAAATGAGGATGTCAACATAGTAACATGAATCAAATGACATAGCACATAAAATGCCTAGCATAGCACCATGACCAGCATCTAATTAAGTATTCAATAAAGTGTGGTAATTTATTCTACTGGCAGCACCATTCAGTCATTTAAACACTTTAAAAAATATATAACCAAAAATGTAGTTTCTTTAAAAAAAAATTTTTTTTTTTTTTTTTTTTACTTACTGATTTTAGAGAAGAGGAAGAGGGACAAATGGAGAGGGGGAGAAACAGATAAACACTGACTTGTTGTCCTACTTATTTATGCATTCATTGGTTGATACTTGTATATGCCCTGACTGGGGACTGAACCCAAAACCTTGACATATTACGACAACATTCTAATCAAGTACCCAGCCAGGGTCTACCTTTTTTCCTTCCAATATGTCCCCCAAAGGACTTTAAACGATTTAAAGAGGTCCTTGAATTAAAAGAACAAAATAAATCTTTAAAACTTACCTTGTCAGTCCTGCTGCCTCGGTTTGGACGTCCTCCACGCCCACGGCCACCTCGTCCTCCCCTGCCACCACGTCCTGGGCGGCCAAGGTCTCCAAAATTGATCTCCAGCTGAGACGTGATATCATTTGCTGGCTTCCGGAAATGATGGTCCATAACCGAATCTTCAGCGTGAGCCTGAAAATTTAAGTAAAGGCCACTGGATGATTACTAGGAAAGTAATGCTGCAAATTTCGGAATAAGCTTTCTTCTGGGCCTAGTGGTTGATCAATCTATGAACCAGGAGGTCAAGGTTTCATTCCTGGTCAGTCAGGGCACATGCCCAGGTTGCAGGCTTGATCCCTGGTAGAGGAGGCAGCCGATTAATGATTTTCTCTCATCGCTGATGTTTCTATCTCTATCTCCCTCTCTGAATTCAATAAAAGTATTACTTAAAAAAATTACAGGTGATATTGGCAAGTCTCAATTAGAGGTATCTAATCACAACTACTCAGGTGACTGGGCCTCATCTCAAACCTAATGAATCATAATCTTTACCAGTACATTTAAAATATGCATTCAGATTAGGATTCCCATCAAGGAACCCCTGATAAAGACATGGATAGCATGTAAGGCTTCTATTAATGATAATACTGAATCTATAAGTTCTAAAGAAAACTTTATATTCTTCCAACCACAGGTTAAAAAATTGTGTACAGACTTTTGTTCATACACTTTTATATGTTCTTTCATATAAACAAGAGAACTATAGATTCAAGTGAATCACAACTTTACATAAGGGAACCTTGAAAAACTGCACCCAAGTAAAACTACGCCTTAAACATATTAAAGGAACCATCTTAAAAATGAAAACGTCATGTTTGTGAAATCCAGATCCTTTGTATTTATGTAATAAGCTACATGACCCAGTCTGGGGAAAAAACACAAAAAACAAAAAAATATATTACAATTGTTAATAACTATCCTTAAAGTACAAATAAATGTTATATTTGTATCCATGCTTTCATCCCTTTAATCATCTAATACCAAATTGTCAGACCAACCTAAAGGCAATAGAAGTCTTTGTAAAGAAGCCTAAAAGATATGTCCAAAAAATTGCTAGCAAATTAAAGTCAATTATATATACTGTCTAACTTTTAAATGTTTGCTATTGCAAAGCAATATCAATCTATTAATCAGAAGCTTTTACAATTTTCTAGAGCACAGAAACAAAAAAAAGTCTAAGTTGATATACTACTGAAACAATCTAAAAGGTTTTACTACAATATAAAATCTGAATGTTGAGGACACATCCCTAACCTTTGAGTAACTAGTAGGATAAATTGGCAAAGCATATGACCGTGTCTTAATAGTGAAAATGTATTGGTTTGTTATTCATAACCAATTTCACATTTTATAGTTTCAAAAATATCTAATCATATACATCACCTTGTATAATTATTTCTGAAAAGCACACTGGAAAATAATACTTAAAACTATGATACCTAACCTGGTCTATAAAATACATGAAGAGGATTCAGGATATTATTGACTCACCTATAAAATTATATCACAATTTTGTATGTGTCTTGTTCTGGAGAAAAGTTCTATCAGGACCTCATAACAGTTACAAATAATTGTCTCAAAGGTGCCCAATAAATCTTTCTCATATTAACCTAAGTAGTTTAATAATTAGTTCAACAATCTCCCCAAGAATTTTCAAAGTTCTTTAATCTGAAATCCTATTTGTTTCACCCAGATATACAAAACTGTACCTGCAAGAACTATGAAAAAATAACCACATGTTCTAAACTTTTGTTCTGTATGACTTGACACTTAAAAGACAATGTCCTCATTTATACTATTTTTATAGACTGTTTTTAAAAAACACCTCTAAATCTAGAAAATATTTAAAACTCTTCAACCTGTTTCATTTCAAAATGTTTCCAAGTTTGCTTCACAACTATTTTTTAAAGAAATTAAAATGTATTAAGATCTTATTGCATCTTTTTATTACAGGTTGCCTTCATAACATTTTAACTTTATGACTAAAATATCATACTTACACAAGCTCTAAAAGGATGTAGCAATGGGACATTCCTCTAAGAATGTGCCCCAAGGCTTAAGCAGAAGATGCCAAAGTAAAAACCACCAACATATCTTTCTCATTAGTTTCCATGTTTTGTAAGTAAAGGAAACCTATAAATTAATTTTCTGGTCTTTACATCATTCCTCAATAAAGAAGGGTAGTACCATTTATTGAAGAGTCCTGACCATTAAATATGGCATAGGCAGACAGTTTCAAGTATTACATACTGTATAAAGGCACTCATTTTATTGTAGGTTAAGCCACATGAAAATGCCAACCTTTCAATCTAATACAAGTCCTTGAATTTAGGCATGATTTTTAAAACTTTGAAAAGACCGACTGTATTTATGAAATATAGTAATTGTAAGATATATATTGACTAATAGCTTTTGGGGATGGGGACTACCAGATTGAATATAACAATAAATAGAAGGACTAAATTTCTTAAAATATGCAGTTTATTTTCCTTTTTGAACAATTTACCTAACCCAATGACACTATGCAAAGCTTTTCTTTTTTATAAAGATTATAAATAACAAAAATTATAAATGTGTTGAATTGTCAAGACACACCTAAAAATTTTCCAATACCACAAAAATTAATTTTACCTCTTCACTCTTTGACTTATGAAGAACAAATCCCTTCTTCCACTGACCATCAGCACCTTCGTTTGGTTTTCGTATATTAAATTCTACTTTTGCCCGGTCCTTATTTTGAATAGCCTTCCACTCATCCAAAGTCATTTCTTTTGGACCCTCTTCCTTTACTTCTTCAACTTCGTTTTCCCTGTGAAAAGATGTTTAAGTTTTATACCTACTAGGTGGCTGACAAAAATCTGTATTACTTGTAAGAAGTTAAATCTTGGTAAATCAATCTTTTAGGGAAAATTATCCAAGGGTGAAAGGATCATAATTTTTGTAACCCAATGGCTAACATTAATTTCGTAGACAGCAGGTATTCAACGCTTATTGTATTAGTGAAAGTATGGATAAGTAAGAAAAGTACAATTCATCTTCATAAACTTTTAAATGCTCATCTATCAGTAATACAACCTGGAATTGGCTTTACCAAACATAAAGAGAAACATCAACTGGTTGCCTCCCATACACACCCCAATTGAGATTGAACCTGTGACCTAGGTATGTGCCCTGACCAAAAATCAAACCCGCTACACCTCCTTGGTGCATGGGATGATGCTCCAACCAAGCCTCCCCCCCGCTGGGGCTAAAATACACATTTCGTAAAACAACACTACTTTCTCTTAAAACTGTACCGTTACATAATTAAAATATTTGGCCTAACTTCTCCTAAAACATTTTTTTTAATTTCCCACAATACATAACTCATGTATCATCTAGAATGCCTGTGAACCACACTTCACATTCTAGAATATAAAAAGAACTATTCCTCTATCCTTTATTTTAGGATAACGCTGATTGCAAAACAAAAAAATCTTTAAAACGCAGGTTTATACAAATCCTAGATTCTATATATGCCAATTTTCAAACCAAACTGTGTGGGCGGGAGACTGAGGTTTCACTAGAAATAAAACTCTCCACAAAACACACTGGTTTCAATATTTAATAGTAAATTAGTTATTTCTAAATGTAATTCTTAGATTATAACTATTATATGAGTTTCCATTTTTGCAGAAAGAAAGCCTAGAAATCCATTATTTTAATCTAATATCAATTTCCAATTGTCACCAAACAAGTTGTTTGCTATTTTGGGAGCTCTGCTTTTTTCCAAAGATAGCAGATGATCCAGTTAGCCTCAGAGCTCAAATATCTCTCTCTTCTATGCTACTCTGTACTGTTTGACTAATCCTACCTTAAAATTTCAAGTTTACATTGAATTGATGAGATTTGGATATAAGGTCCAGCTGTTAGTTTACAGATGAGAAAGCTAAGAAAAAAAAGTCCTAGTTACTCCTAAGTTGTGACAGAGCCAAGATTGTAATGTAACTCAGCACATTTTGCCACATGGAACCATGACACCTACCTTCAAGGATTATTGTTAAGGATCAAGTGAGACAAAACAAACGCTCTGGAAACTACATATAAGGGAGTCAAAGTCAGCCAAGCACTGCTTTATAAATTTGTATTTCCATACACAAGATACAATACTATGTTCAGATTCTCTCCACTCTGGAGACTGCTCTTAATACCATCTTCATAATCTTTTTTAGACCAAATACCCTCAATTTCATTCCTGGGTCCTGAATTAAAGATCTGCTTCCAATACCCTATCAATAATGAATGATTTCCTTCTGGTAGACATTTATAATCTTTGCAGGTCACACTTACGGTGATTTAAATATGGGCTCTTTATTAAAGGAAAAACGATTGTATTGAGCATTGTGAAGTACTCAATATTATATAAGGCTCATTTATGCATCCACAATTTCATTGTTTTACCAAATAAATTATTCTATACAGTTTCATATAAATGAATTTATCTATCTAAGTTCAACACATCATTTAACACCATCTGTTTTTTCTACTGTCTCCAATAATAGCAAATGTATTATTCCAATAAACCCATGGACTATGATACCCTAATCATTAGTAATAGTTCACTGTAAGAGCAATTCTTCCTTAAGAAAAAGCAAAGTTTAGAAAAGCATCTCCTCCGATTGATTTGAATATGCCCCAGTTAAGATTTAGACCTAAGTAATCTATAATTCAAGACTTTAAACCACAATACCATAAGAAATGACTGGCATATAATTTCTGCTTTGATTGATGGAAACTAGAGAAAGGCATTATTATTATTTCTACCAGCATAACTTGAAACTTTAAAACTCTCTCACCCTTGAATAAATAAAAACTTCAAAACCAGGTCTTCTACCTAAAAAGACTCTCACACAGACAATGAAAAAGATTAAGAAATCTAGTGAATAACATATTCTGGCATTTGCTCTCTTCATATATTTTAAAGCAAGTCAATAATGCTATGTTCCAAATTCAATGTTGATGGAAAATAAATTTCAAAGAGGTACAATTTTAAAGTCACGTTTCCTAGTTTTAAACTGTCTCAAAATAAAACCTGCAGTTATAGATTCCAAAGTATTTTGAACTATGAGTTCTATATACAACTTCTCTTATTTCAACCATTTGGTCTAATTCTTAGTAACCCCCAATTTCAGATTCTAGTTCTCACCTATTTGATGTCTCTGGACAGCTATCACTTGAATTACCCATTACTTATATATCTATTACCATTATCTCTATCAAGGTTAATTAGGTAAAATGCATAGCATCTTATTCTCTATTTTGAGGTTACAATAGTTAATTTTTGTGCTTGGGGCTAGCAGGTTTTACTATCTTCCCTTATTTTTTAAGACAGCAATGGTAGTTTTAAATAGAAATAACCATTTCTATTTTTCAAATCATTAGAACCCTATATACCAATATATACATGTGTAAAACACTCCTCTATATAAACACTACTTGATTAACTGGGGTACCCTGAAAGTCTCTTCTGTTAAAAACCCATCAAGTAACAAAATTAAATCTATATGCTTTCTTGGTAAAAACCCAAACTGATTTCAGTGACGGAGCATTACTACTATACATAAACCAACTTACTTATTTTCAGTGTCTGCAACTGGATGTTCTTCACCTTCTGGTGTTTCCTCAGTCACATTTGGTTGCTCCAAGTCACTGCAATTATAAGATATTTGTTTCTGAATGTATTTTGGGGACTCTCTAAGGAAAGAAAGAAAAAGAAAGGCATCTAGGTCCATTTACATGTAGCTGAAGAATTCATTATACAAAAATATTTTAAAATCCTCACATTCCCTGTGTCTTTTCCTACTAAATGTATACTCCAGTAGACCTTTAAGAGGAAATAATTTAAAAATGTGTACTGATCCAAGTTATAGTATTTTACTCAAAAAGAAACAGGACAGAAGTTAGTTTTAAAATAATGCCTCACTTGCTTATCAAATTTTTCTAATAACCAGAAGGGTCAATAGCTACAAACTATTAAAGACATAGAAATAAGAATACCCAAACAACTTCAATGCAGGGTTTCAGAAAAAGCTATATATACATATGAAAAGAAAAACTGATATCACATATACTGAAATATGAAAAAATTGGTCACTTCATACAACTATAATCTAAACATATCCAACAAGAGGTTATCTTGTATGGAAGATATACAAGATATTTAGCTATAAGGTAAGAGTTATTCCATTCTTGTCCCAGAGACAAATAATATTTGAGTTATGGGCGAGCCTCTAGTAAGGTATAGGATCAATTTTATTAAAATTATTTTAAAAAATCAGAATACCAACGTTAATTCATCTTTGACAGTTCCCCAGTTGTGCGATCCGCTACCTCCACGTTTGTCCTCGTGCTTCAGACCACTGTAATGTGAGAAAGAACTAAAAAAACTGAGTTAACATAATACTCTTTAATTCTAGAAATTCAAAGTTTGTTTTATTAAAAAAAGTAGACTCAAATATAATATAATAAAAACCAATATAAGACTTACGATCTATCACTTCCACTATGCCTATCAAATTCACGTTTGCCACGAGAGTCAAATCCATCTCCTCGGCCCATTCCGCGTCCACGTCCTCCTCGACCTCTTCCAAGACCACCACGGCCTCGGATAGGCCGGTCAATAATCGGTCTATAATAAATAAAGATTATATACATCCCAGGTTTCCAGAAAAAAGAATAGGGAAATTCATTCAAAGACTCAAATATACAGGAATACATTTATTGGCTCATAAGCCAACAGTTATAAACACACGTTTTAGAAAATTCAAAACAGTCTATTTCTAAACACATAAAGGAAATAAAAACAACTAGGAAGCTACTCCCACAACAAGAACATTAATTTTACATTGTCTAAAACTTATTAGTGCACATACTTTTTATTGTTATTTGTTTTACATAATAACCTAATAAAACTACTATTCATCAATACATTTAATAATTAAAATAAACAAATCTAACCTGCATAATGAGTAATCTGCTTTGCTATAAACAATACAACAGAACTTTCCTGTTAACATCTGGGGATAGCAAGAAAAAGAAATTGTCTATCAATTCAACTAAGTGTTTCACTACAAGGGATCTAAGGTTGAACACTAAAAACTGCTATTGAAATAACAATTCAGATGTTTCTTTGTAAAACTGATAAACATAACCAGCCACACTGCTACCTGGCAATTATTACCAATTTATAGCTTTGTGTTGAGACTATAAACTGACAAAACATGAAGAGATTTGAAAAAATCTTGCCTATCAACTGAAAATTCTCCTCCTTCACCCTTTTCTTCAAGTGGCTTTTCAAATCGTCTTTCACGAGGTGGTCGCCGTTCTGGTCTCCTATCAATTATTTTCCCTTCACCCTGAAGTTGTTGATCAGGTCTTCTTCCAACACGTCTTATTCCTAAAATGATAAATAACCAGCATAAGCAAATTATTTTTGCAACTCAAAAATTTTAGGCCTAGACTTAAAAAAAACATGTTAATCTTCAGGTCCCCTAACTAGCACTTACTGTTGAAAAAGGCAAACACTGGGCATATCTAAAGTGGAACAAAGTACTTTAGAGAAACTCCTATTTTAAATAAACTTGTTTCAAACTTCTATCTAGTTTGCCAAGTCACTTTCACCCCCTAAAAGCATTCTCTGCAACTGACTTGAAAGTTACCTGGGTAGCTGGCCATTTCTCCTCTCACTTTTTAAAATGCCAGTCTCTTACTTTAAAATTCTAAATTTAAAGAAATTTTAGGCAAATGATACATTTTGGCTTTAAATACACCAAAGATAACACCAGCAGCCATTCATAAATAACCAAGCAAATCCATACATATTCACATTCAACAGATAAGGACCCTAAAAAAAATTTTTTAAAAGTAAAGGCCACACTTTTAGTTTACATAATCTGGAGGGGGAAAAAAAAAACCTCAAGCGTAAAAAAAAAAGACTGATAATCCCATGAAATTACAAAATTGAAAGGAAAACAACTAGCATCTAGAATTACATATCCAGTCTGAAATAGCTATTTAACCAGAAAAAAGTACCTCCTCTATTAGTTTTTACATGTTTTATACACACTACACCTAACAGAAAAACTGTTATGCAACCTCTAAAATACTCGATATTTTACTATTATGGATGGAGAACATTTCTTTTGGTTTGTTCTTACCAATGCATTTACCCTGTTAGTATCTAATGCCAAGAAGCAACCAATATGCATTACTGGTGGCCTTAAGAATAAGGAGACTGATGGTTAAACTCAAGTCTGTAAAATTCAGGTATGCCATAATTCCCAAACCACAATTTCTGTCAAGGCCAAACAGCAGCCAAGGAACTGTTTTTGTAACAAGATCTTAAGTTGATTTACCTTGGTTCTTTCTAAGAAAGTGGAACACAATCAAGATTCACCCAATTGTTCAGGTGCTTTTAAGTAGAGTAAAACAGTAAGTACCAAACTCTGATGAAATTTTAAAGTCCACTCCACATAAACTCTCAGTGTAGGCACATTGTTAGATCTTACACCAAGGCATCTTAAATAAATTTCATCAGAGCTAAAGTGCATTGGGGTGGAGCTTGGAACCAGTCTTTATAATGATATCCAAGCCAAACACACCCAAATGAACAATGGCTTTTTTCCCCACCCAATATTCAATATTAGGCTTACAGAATCTAAAAAACTTACCAAATATATTCAACCAATAGTCATCATTTAAAAATGCATGCTTCTCTTGATATATTTAGCTGTACGTGCAAGCTCACTTGATTTTCACTAGATACCAGGCTTTTAATTAAAAACAAAAAACATCACATTGGTCTATACTCAGTGATAGTCTGTAGTGTCAATTCTCAATTCTTCAAATGGACAAAAGACTAGCTACAAAGCTAATTCTTATAATATGAACATTAAATATATATCTAGGGTAGTCTAGCACTATACCAGGACCTTTCTTCAAAAGCACAGAACACAGGATCAGGCTAACTATCCTTCCCCAATGCCCACAACATCAACCGAAAGCAGGATCTCAAAATGAGTTTTTTCATTCAACATTTTCCCTTTATTTATAAATGTTTTATGCAATTTAAAGTTAGGAGTGCTCTGAAATACTGATCTAAGGAAAATGTTGATAGCTAATATCGGAGATTTCCCGAAGACCACTGAATTATAAATGTATGAAGCAATCCCCTAACCTTTGTAACTTAAAATACTAGTTTCCAAGTAAGAGCTCATTTCAAAGATGGGCTTTATGATCAAAACAACTGAGGGATTTCAAACATGCTTCATCCTTTGAACATTCAAAATGGGTGAACACACCTACCTTGCACATTTTAGATTTACGATTCAGACTCAATTTTTTCATGTGCTTTCTTGGGATTATTCTGATCAAAGAGGTAAAGATGAGCAGTTTAAATAATTACACAAGCTAGTCAAGCGAGTGTTCCTTAACACAGAAATTAAACGATTTATTCAGTTGTGCTACAGGTTGCTGTCAGTCTTAGTTGACAAAACAGATATATGGCTGACTCGGTGTACACATGCTTTCTAATATTCCAACTTGTGCTTCCCCCGACCCATAATTTTAGTACAGGAATTCTTGTTTTATTCACCACTTAGTTCTTTATGTCAAAACCTCACAGTTCTAGTTAAAACACACACACACACACACACACACACACACACACAACACACACACCAAAACCCTAAACCAAAATATAATACACGTGTTTAAATTTTAAAAAAGAAAATTAGTTGAATGTTAAAGAATCCAACTTAAAGCTAATGAGAAACAACTCCTTTCCGGAGCACGTGGCAGCAAAGCGAGATTTCAACGTTGACTGTAGAAAACCAACCAAGATCCGGAGCCTGGCTATTTGCTGTGCATCCCGTCTGCTTTTTCTGGCCCCCAACTGTTTTGCTCTTTCCAGTCACCACAAAAGACAAACACGTAATGCGTGAGAACGCAACACCCAAGCTCGGGACACTCGGGTGAAGCGTCCGGCGTGACCTGGAAGCAGCTCCCGCCGCCGCCAATGAGACGCCGAGCACGCTTCCCGCACGTGTGGAGGGAAAGCTGCACCGGAGAGCTCCCCGCGGCCGCTGGGCGAGCGTGACAGCCCGTGCGCTCCTCTCACCACGCGGCCGGCGCGGAGCCGCCCCACCTGAAGCGCGGGCGGCGGGGGGCGGAGAAAGGGTCGCGACCAGAGGGCGACCCCCAGGCCTCCCTGCAAAAGCCCCTCTCCATTCAGAAGCCCCGCGTCTGCGTCATCGCATGCAGCCCAAAGCCTCCCCTTCCCAACAGCTTCACTCGCTGCAGCCACTTACCAAGTTTAAAATAGTGGAGAGGGTGTGTGTGTGGGGGGGTGGGGGGGGTACAAGGAGGCGCATGGGGCACCTAGGACAGGTAGCTCACGCCGCAGTACCTGACCCCCAGCTTCTCACCGTCGTGGGACAAGATGGCAGGACAGCAGCCCAAGCCAGGCAACCGCACCTCAGAGCAGCAGAGAGCGAGCTCTGAGCGGGAGGGAGCCGGGGACCCCACGCTTCCCGGGAGCCTCAGGCCAACACCCGCCGGCGGGCGGGATCCGGCGGGAAGGCAACAGCCGCCGGGCCCCCCGAGCACGCTGAGGGCGGCTCGCCTCCGGGCCGCGCTCCTCCGCTCGGGACCCGAGGCGGGAACCTTGCAGGAGGTGGTTTGAACTCGAGGCTACCACGCTCGCAGGACCGGGCTCTGGTCATGTGGGGGCAACGGGAGGAAATCGGCCGCAGAACCTCCCGCGGACGCTCGGAGCCCGAGGAGCTGCCCCGCTCCTTCCCTCACGCCGGGTCTTCCCCACCTTCCACCACGGACTCACCTTCTTTCTTAAGCGCCACGGGCGGCTGCGTCTCCTCTTTCTTGTCAGCCACGCCGGCGTTGGACGGCAGCGGGTTCTTGCGTTCTTTCTGGGACTCTTTACGCAGCTGTTTGCCTGCCGCATTGGAGTTGGTCTGGGCTGCGGCCTGAGCTGCGCTCTTAGCCCCAGGGCCCCCAACACCGCCCCCGCCGGCTTCTTTTTTCTTGTTCTCTGCTGCCTTCAACACCTCGAAGGGGTCCGATTCGTCGTCAAATAACTGGTCGAATCGGTTGGTGACCACGCAGCCGAAGCCTTCCTGTAAATGCCCAGGCATGATGGTGGCTCGGCGGCGCGTTCCTCCACGGATTGCAGCGGGCCGCGCCGAGCCAAGAGCGCCTGCTTCAGCTCTTCCCACAAGATGGCCGGGCCGAGAGAGGGGCCGTCTTCTCTTCCGGTGCCAGGCACACATCCGGGAGCGGCCGGCGCCGCAGGGCACTGTGGGGTATGTAGGCCAGAGCCGCTTTTACCGAGACGGCTCCCGACACCGGGACTACAATTCCCGGAATGCACAGCGCGACAACTCTTCGCGCGCGCCTGGGAGGCCGGACTTCAGGGAGGGAGTGGAGCTTGCGAGGTGAGGGAGGGGAAATGCGGCGATGGGCGGAGTCCTGCCACCTGCTCTCGCCACCCTTAAACTCTCGAGTCTCGAGCTGTGCTGCAAACAGGAAAACGTGTCGGCGTGTTTTGCTCCCGAAAGTATTCTATCTTTGGTTTTACTCCCCCAGTCTCCGGCCCAAGGCGTTATAACTTTCTCCACCTCTCCGGGAGGGTCAAGGTGACTCGCAGATCTTACCACTGGAGACTCGCAAACTTCCGGGGCCGGGGGGGATTGCTGCGGTGCCTCGCCGGCCTCACCCAGACAGGACCCGACCTGTTTCAGGTCAAGTCCCTCGCTGCACAGTTGCTGGAGTCGCCCTCCTGTATCCCTAACAATGAATCGACAGTGTTTAACGTGACGCAGAATACTCGCAGGGACGTGAACTTGGAGAGCAGAATTATTAAAAGGACAACCATCACGTGGGAGTGTTGCGCGCCTTTCCTGGGTGAGAAATACGGTTTTGCGAGGGATGCTGTCATTACTGTTAACTCCTTACAGGGCAGCAAAAGCTAGACACCCGGGCAAGCCTCGAAAAGGCACTGTTTGCAGAAACACTTTGTAGAGTCAATCCAGTCGTCCATGAGTGTCCAGCAAGCCAAGGATTAGGTGTTCGTAAAAGGTGCTCAAGAAATAACATTTTAGAGCACCTGAGCGTGCGGTGTGCTGAGAGGTACAATGAGGAGAGGAAAATGTCAGCGACTGGTCACACACTTACAGCATTCGTATTAGTTGAGACTATTGACGTCTGTTAAGGTAACTGAGTGTCAATGCCTACTCAAGCATATTTGGTAACACTGTGTTTAAGTGTATCATCATAGTTTTTAAACTTTTTTCCATTAACACAAAATATAATAGAAAATGCACCTCTATGTCGCAGGTGCTGTGAATAACCTTCACCGGGACAGCTTTTTAGGTAGGTGCTTTTCCCTTTTCACTGATGTTGAAACCATTTCAGAGGTGAAATGGCTTATCAAGTTCACACCTCTGTTTAAATGCCGGGAAGTTAACGCTGGCTTCTAACTCCGAGAGGAGACTGTTGACATCAACTCCTTAATCCAAACTCTGCTTCTGATAGAAGTCAGTCCATTCTTAATTTCCAGTGTTTAGTAAGACTTAAATATTGTTGGCACATCAGGCAAAGTATGTAGCATGGCTGAATGTGATCTTCCTAATTTCTGAGCAGATTTTAAATCAGTTCCCTACCAGAGAAAATAAAAGACAGAGTCACATTACAGGCATGTGGCAGCAAGCCTGGTGGTTTTCTTTTCTCTAAATCCAGCCCCCACTCCTCAAAGTCACCTATTTCTCTGTTGCCTCAGTCCCTGCCACACACACTCCCTTTTCACACACACACACACACCCACCCGCTTCTACAAGCTCTGGCTCTTGTGGATCCTACCAAGATAAAAGACAAGGAGTTTTTGACCACATTCTTCAAGCACCTTCGAAAGTAGCTTAAGTGCAATTTGGAAGATCTCCATGCTTTAAAAACATTTTCTCTTTACCAAGGGTTAGCTGCATCTTTGAGATATATGCTACAACTTACCTCTTTCTGGCCACTGCCACAATATTAAGAGCTAAAACTTGATGTTTCACTATGTGCTTGGTGTACTTTACATGTGTGACCTCACTTCATCCTCACATCAACTCATTCATTTCTAAGGTGAGGAAAATGAAGGGACTAAGTAACTTATCTACTTCTGCCATAGTCTGGGGAGTGGGGCTGGCCTGTTCGTAGTCATTTTTATCCTATGTACAGATCCCTGGTTTCTTCAGATAGATTTTTATGACCACCAAGCACTATTACAATAAGAATATTTAAAGATAAGCTACACATAGAGGAATTGTATGGCTATGAATTTATGAGGTTCACTTAATGCTCTTTAGAGAATTTACCTAGTAATATAGCATAAAAAATATGAGTAAAATTTGGAGGAAGAGGGAAAAACTTGTAAGCACTTTCAAATTCCTTCTCTCCCTTTCTTCTTTCCTGGAATTTTGGTTAATCCAGGAAATTTTTAAAGACCATTTTTAAAGTATACAAATAAAGCTCAAAATGGTAATTCTTTTAGATCTCAAATCAATCATCTATAATAATAGAAGTGTAATATGCAAATTGACAAAACAGCCAAACAGCGGAACCATCATTCGGATGACCTTCTGGACGAAGCCGGGGCTGCAAGGGCCTATTCTTGCATGAATTTCGTGCATCAGGCCTCTAATTATCTTATAAGTAACTATTTTCACTAAAGTTTCCATTCTGCTAAGAAGTTAAAATAGTTTTTAAAAATATTTAAATGTCCCTGCTACTTTCATTAGAAAATAATATTGCTGAATAAACCTAAGGGAGGAAGAAAGGAGACTTCATGGCAGACTGTTATTCAAATTAAAGGCATGCATTATAAAATGACAAGTTATACCACTGATGAGAAATGTAGCAAGCTCTCTTTAGCAAGCTTAAATCACATATTGTTTTCTGAAAAATACACTTCACAGCCTTTACCTATAGCATGCTCTCAAAACAGTAAATGCTGAATACTATCCAAATATCTTGATTAAATATCCAATATGTTTGCTTAATGGTTATGAAACTGAGCAACAATATTATACCTTCTTGCAACCCTCACTTCCCTTTAGGATATTAATACTCAGTTTTCAACCACATTACAACTTCTTTTCACCCATTTCTCAATAATCTCAATCCTCCATTACTGTTACTATATCCTATCTAATAATAGACAAACATGGTAATTGACCATACCTTTGCTATGCCTCCCATTGGGTGGGGCAGCAGCGATCGGCTGGCCCACCTGGGCGTCCTGTGTGACCTGACCCGGGGCGGCCGGGCGGGATAGCGTGGCTCCTCTGTCACCCCAGCTTCCTCATCACAGCTCCCTTGGGGGCCTAAGCCTTTAGTCGGACACCACCCCCCCCCCCCCACAGGGCTCCCTGCCTGTCAGAAGGATGTCTGACTGCAAGCTTAGGCCTGATCCCCCGGGGAGTGGGCCTAAGTCGACAGGTGGACATCCCCCAAGGGGTCCTGGACTGCAAATGGGCGCAGGCCAGGCTGAGGGATCCCCACCCTGAGTGTACAAATTTTTGTGCACCGGGCCTCTAGTTATAATCATAATTACTAACAAGTATAATTTGAGCCTTTAGTATACACTTAACACTGTGCTAAGTACCTTACATGCATTTTTTTCTTTAATTCTCAGAACAACATTGTGAAGTAAGTAGTATTAGTATCTCTACTTCCCTTTTACAGATAGGAAGACTGAGATTAAGAACATCTCCCAAGCCCTAGCCGGTTTGGCTCAGTGGATAGAGCGTCGGCCTGTGGACTGAAGGTTCCCGGGTTCGATTCCAGCCAAGGGCACATGCCCGGGTTGTGGGCTCAATCCCCAGTGGGGAGCGTGCAGGAGGCAGCCGATCAATGATTCTCTCTCATCATTGATGTTTCTATCTCCCTCTCCCTTCCTCTCTGAAATCAATAAAGAAATATATTAAAAAAAAAAAAAAAGGAACATCTCCCAAATTCACATTGCCTGAAAGAGTTCAGGCAGTCTGATCTCACAGCCTGGACACCCAACTATTATACTTGTGAGGAACATTCTATTGCTGCCACCTGTAGCAATAGAAAACTATTATTCTGTTAAAACACTTTTGGGACACTAGATATAGGCATCACATAAAATGTAAATAAGAGACTCTAATTTTTAATGTACTTTAAATACATTATGCATTTTTAAAATAAAAGCAATAATGGTGGTTCTTTTTTTAAGATATATTTTACTGATTTCAGAGAGGAAGGGAGAGAGAGATAGAAACATCAATGATGATAGAGACTCATTGATTGGCTGCCTCCTGCACGCCCCCCTCTAGGGACAGCCTGCAACCCAGGCATGTGCCCTGACCAGGAATCAAACCTGTGACCTCCTGGTTCATAGGCTGATACTCAACCTTTGAGACACACCGGCCAGGCTAAAGGTGGTTCTTATGAAGAAAGGGCATAACATGTATGTCTCAGGATGGAATGCTAAGTATAATCTTGCAAGTTGAGGCTCTTGCTAAAGTTAGAATATCAAAGCTAAATATAGAAATATTACACTTTCTATTTTGTCACCTCAAACTTACTTTGAAGGTTGATCCTCTTGATTTTAAACTTCCCTTTTTTTCCTACATTGTACTCTTAAAAATAAAAACAGCTTTATTGAGATATAATTCACATGCCACATAATTTACCCATCTAAAGAGTACTATTCAAAGGTTTTTAGTCTATTCACAGAGTTGTACAATTATCACTACTATCTAATTTTAAAACATTTTTACCACACACCCCCTCCCCCCAAGGTAATCCATACTCATTAACAGTCATTCCTCATTCTCTCCCACACCAGTCCTAGGCATGCAATAGTCTACTTTCTGTCTCATAGATTTGCCTATTTGGGCATTTCATATAAATGGAATCTTGTAGTACGTGGTCTTTTGTGACTAGCTTCTTTTACTCAGCATATTCTCTAGGTTCATCCATGTTGTAGCATGTAACAGTACTTCCTTTTTATGACTGAGTAATTTTCCATTATATGAAGAGACTATACTTTATTCATTCACCAGTTAGTGGATATTTGGGTTAGTTCTGCTTTTTTGGCTGTTATGATATTCCCTACTATGGATGTGCCCGCAACCAAGGTACATGCCCTTGACCGGAATCGAACCTGGGACCTTTCAGTCCAGATCCTGTAGTGAATACCAGGTAATTCCATCTGTGTGTGTTTTTAAGTTGCTTCCAGTT